GGTTGGACTCGATGACCTCCAAGGTCCCTTCCAACTTTATTATTATTATTATTATTATTATTATTATTATTATTATTATTATTATTATTATTATTATTATTATTATTATTATTATTATTATTATTATTATTATTATTATTATTATTATTAACAACACAGAGTTCTCAAGGCACAAATAGCCAGGCTCAGATTATATTGTATGTACCATACCATCATACTTGACAGTTAATATGAGATGCTTGTGCTGATATGCTATGTTTGGTTTTTGCCAAATGCGGGACTCTGCATTATGGCCAGATATCTCCACTTTGGTCTCATCTGTCCAATGGACACTGTTCCAAAAAATTTGATGTGAAAACTGACCTCTCTAGAAGAGGCTCTAATGCTGGGAAAAATGAGTCAATTGGCAGCTTATCTTACAATAAGTGCTTATCTTACACTTGGAATACTGCATCCAGTTTTGGTCACCACGATGTAAAAAAGATGCTGAGACTCTAGAAAGAGTACAGAGAAGAGCAACAAAGATGATCAGGGGACTGGAGGCTAAAACATATAAGGAATGGTTGCTGGAATTGGGTATGTCTAGTTTAACGAAGAGAAGGACGAGGGGGGACATGATAGCAGTGTTCCAATATCTCAGGGGCTGCCACAAAGAAGAGGGAGTCAAGCTATTTTCCAAGGCGCCTGAAGGCAGGACAAGAAGCAACGGATGGGAACTAGTCAAGGAGAGAAGCAACCTAGAACTAAGGAGAAATTTCCTGACAGAACAAGTAATCAGTGGAACAACCTGCCTCCAGAAGCTGTAAATGCTCCAACACTGGACGTTTTTAAGAAGAGACCAGACAATCATTTGTCTGAAATGGTGTAGGGTTTTCTGCCTAAGCAGGGGGTTGGACTAGATGACTTCCAAGGTCCCTTCCAACTTTACTATTATTATTATTATTATAAGCAACCTAGGCCTGGTGGCCCCAAAGGTGCTTTCTACAAAAGGCAGCTGGACTTTCTTGAGTTTTTTTTTTCCTTTGAAAATGTTTTGCTTCTCATACAAGAAACTTCTTAGTGCTAACTTTTTTCAGATAGAACTGAAGAAGCTTCTTGGGTGAGAAGTGAATTGTTTTGAAAAGAAAAAAACAACAACCCAAGAAAGCCCAGTTGCCTTTTGCAAAAAGCACCTTTGGGACAACCGTGACCCGGATGATCAAGAATCTCCATAGACATTTAAACTAGCTAGCTGGCCTGAAGCCTGTGAAGAATAATTTCATATCATTCAAACCTGCCCTGCTCTAATGGCATCACTATATTTGAGGGTTGAAAATTCCATTTCTGGTTTCCAAGATTCAATAGATATGTATCCCAAGCTACCATTGAAGAGACTTTATGGAAATCTGTATATGATGGCCAGCTAGGTGGGATTTGACTTTGGGGCCACTTAGATAAGTCTTAGGCCGCATTCAGACAATCAATTTGGTTTAGTTGTTAATGCCACCGGCTAGAAAGCGAGAGACCATGAGTTTAAATCCCACCTTAGTCATGAATGCCATCTGAGCGACTTTGGCTAGTCACTCTCATTGCAACCTACCTCAATGGGTTGTTGTTGTTGTTGTTGGGAAAATAGGAGGAGGAAGGTGTGTTAGTTATGTTTGTCAATGTAATTGTTATTTGGAATTGGAATATTCTTTATTGGCCAAGTGTGATTGCACACACACAGAATTTGTCTCTAGTACCTAGGCTTTCAGTTACATACAAATAACACAGTGATAAGCCATAGATCATAAATCATAAGATACAAACAACAAGTGATAAATCATAAGGTACCAATAGGAGAAGGTAGTAGGGAGGATGAGAAAGATGAGAAGAGAAAGATGAGAAGGATAATAGCAATACAGCCTACTATATGGATAAATATCTTTGGCATATAGAGGAAAAAACTATCCTTGTGTCTAGTTCAGGGATAGACAACCTTGACTCATTTATGACTCGTGGACTTCAACTCCCAGAATTCCTGAGCCAGCCATGCTGAGGGGAAAGGGAGAGGTTTCCAAGCTGAGCCATGCTGGCTCAGGAATTCTGGGAGTTGAAGTCCCCAGGTCATAAAAGAGCCAAGGTTGCCTACCCCTGGTCTAGTTGTTTTGGCATGCAGTGCCCTATAGCGGCGTCCTAAGGGGAGAAGTTGAAACAGTTTATGTCCAGGATGTGAGGGGTCTGTAGATATTTTCTCAGCCCTCTTTCTGGCTAGTGCAGTATACAGGTCCTCAAAACAAATATTATGGTTTGGTGTGATGTGGATTCAGTTAGGTAACAAACCAAAAGGAAGATTCCTGAAGGCTTTGCAATGAGAAACTATTTGGAGGAGAAACGAGAAGGAAAACTCAAAAGGAGAAAGGATCAATTGCCTTGATTTGTTGCTGAAGAATGAAATTCCTCCTTCGCTTCCTCCTTTCTGATAAATGAATTTGCTGCCCTCAACTTGAAACAGAAAGTTCTCTTATACTTTGATAAATAAAAGAAGCCTTGGGAGCAAAGTAGGCTGGTTCCTTGCTGGTCTCACAGCACTTCCTGTGCGATCTTGTGGCCCACCTCCAGATAACAGTGGTTGGGGCTGCTGCTCATACCAAGTAGAGTTGGAACAAGAGTGCTCTTCCTCCTTCCGATTAAACTAGTAGCTGGAGTAACAATGAAGGAAGAAGGTACCTTCTACTTCAATTACCGGCCAAAGAGAATGCAAAGGAGACTCAAACAATCTCAGATGCAAGGTAAGCTACAGCTTATTTATAGTCATTGGGGGGCTTCTAAGTTTTGATGGTCTCAGTGCAGACATCTTGGGGGTCTCAGGAATAAGGGAAGGAATGTAATTGCCAATTTCTCTTTTGATGAGGTTTCTACCAGTTAGGTTCTCTATTGATGCAATCCATTGTACGATCCCACCTTTCACACATCCAGCCTTTACACTGCTCCACAAGGCATGACTTCTTATTTTCAGCAGGATAACAGAATAACAGAGTGGGAAAAGACCTTGGAGGTCTTCTAGTCCAAGCCTCTGCTCTATCAGAAGACCTATTGCCACTTCAGACAAATGGTTGTCCAATTTCTTCTTAAAAATCTCCAGTGATGGAGCACCCACAACTGATTAAATGCTTGTCTCTAAGAATGCTCCATAACTAGTGATGAGCACTAAAGAAGGTCTGTTTTCCATTCTACTGTGTTTCATGGCATAAGTCACTTTATTTTAAAATAACATATTATCTTCCATGCCTTGTCTCCAGGGCTTTCACATGAGGATATGTATATATATATATATGTTTGTATACGTATATGCAGGGCTTTTTTTTCTCACAGAACGCCCAGAACAGAGTTCCGGCACCTTTTTTGGATGGAACCTTGTAGGGTAGGCAAGGCGGGTTGTATGACGTGTGTGAGTTCCGGCACCTTTTTTTTTGTTTTAGAAAAAAAGCACTGCGTATATGTATGTGTGTGTGTGTGTGTGCATACATACACATATGGTTTTATTTTAATTTTGCGTTTGTGACAGAGAGATCAGTTATACGTTTACAATGTAAAGTTAACATGTAATGTTTCCAGTGTAATGTTTAGTATTATCAATACAGCAAAATGCCTAGAACAGAATAATCCAGCCTTCCCCACCAAATCTTTTAGACTATCATCCCCCCCCCCCCCCNCTATGGATTGGCCTGTTGGACAATTGGGGTGGGGTTATTATTTTGCGGTTTTACCTATTGCTTCGGGCGGGAAAGCCCTCAGATCCTGCCTAGATCTCCTCTGTCTGTACCTGCCAATAAAAGTTCCTATTGAAATGCTACACGTTTCAAGAGTTCTGCTTTCTTGGTAGGGTGAACGGAGGCAGGTCCTTACAATCACCTTCTGTGACCTTCTGACAAGCAAAGTCAACGGGGAAGCCAGATTCACTTAACAACCGTGTTGCTAACTTAACACCCTCATCCCCTGAAAGCAATTGTAACAGTTGAACATGCCAAAAATTAAAAACCAGTTGGATGAAATAATTCCCAGTAGATTTATAAGAAAAAAGATGTGTGACTTTGTTCCAGTTCCTCTCTCTCAGCCCAACCCACCTCACAGGGTGGTTGTTGTGAGGAAAATAGGAGGAAGAAGGTATGTTGGATGTGTTCGCCACCTTGAATTATTTGTCAAAATAATAACGGTGGGATTTAAATAAATAAAACCCCAAACATGCATGTTTCCATTTATTGTGTTTCAGTTCAGAAAAACAAATTCTGCTTCTTAGCCCAGTGGTGGTGAACCTATGGCTCTCTGTGGACACACGTGCTGTTGCCCCAGCCTCGTCTCCCCCCACAACTCCCTCCTCAACAGCAGCCCGCCTGGACGAGAGTCGCCCCCAAGCATGGCCCATGCGGAACAGCGCAGCCAAGGACATAGCAGCCAGGCAGCATAGACAAGACTCTGCCCTCATGTCCCATCGCGCAGGCAGAGGGCATGGCCGCCATGGTGCTGCTGGGCTGCCTGGGTGATCTGCGGTGGGCCCTGGAGGCGGTGAGTGGCCCTGTGGGCAAGTGGGGCGGAGGATGGGGTGGGGGGGCGGAGCGGGGCGGGGCAGGGGGTGGAGTGAGGGCAGGGCCAGTTTTTGAGCACTCAGTCTCTAAAAGGTTCGTCACCACTGTCTTAGCCTTTACTCAACATAAACACACCCTAGCAAAAGTCAACTGCTAATCAGTAGAAGTAATTATTAAAAGACAAAGCCATACTTGGAGTCATGAAGAAGACAGGCTTAATTTCATATACCCCTCTTCATTCTTTCAAGGTGGATAAGATGATAATAAGATGATAAGATAAGATGAGATGAGATGAGATGAGATGAGATGAGATGAGATGAGATGAGATGAGATGAGATGAGATAACCTTTATTGTCATTTTTTTTTTACTGTGGGCACAACGGCACACATCAAAAATGAAATTTAGTTGCCTGCTCTCAAAGTGAAACACATACATGAAACACACCCCTAAACATACTATGAACAACATATGTATAGACCCACATCCCTACATATACATAGCAAATAAATATTAAATACTGTCCATCTTGAATATATAATGGAAGGAGGAAGCTTGAGAGTTCACAAGGTTAATGCTGTACGGAATGAAACTCTGGCTGAATCTGGATGTTCTGCTTCGGATACCACGAAGCCTCCTCCCAGAAGGTAACAAGGAAAACAGGTCGTGAAGAGGCTGTGTAGTGTCCCAGATAATCTTATGGACCCTGCTCAAGCAACGCTTCCGTGCTATGTCCTGGATGGGAGGGAGGGAACTGCCAATGACCTTTTTGGCCATCCTCACCACTCTCTGCACCGCCTTCCTGTCTGAAGCAATGTAGTTTGGTCTTTGGGCTACAAAGGAAATGTGAGCTCTTTTTCACCATCTGAAGTGTGAAACCACAAGGAAATATCTCAGAAGGGTTCTGACATTAATGAGAATCTTGAATACCAACCACAACAGAAAGAAATGGCAGCAGAAGCTTCTCTGTAATGAAGGAGTTTGCTTTTATCAGCCTTCCAATGTGGCATCTGCACTTGGTCTTGAATATCTGAGATATCTGTCCAACCTCACAGAAAAACAACACAGATTTCAGGAAAGTCTCTAATGGTGTGTAGGGTAAACACATTATCCTGGAGGCTGTAAGAGGAATTTCCTCATTTTTAGATAATTAATCATTTAATTAATTTTGGAATGATTGGAAATGCTGCTCCCCAGGTTTTCTGCCCCTAGGGCTAAGATGTGGCTTATAAAATAAGCTGCCAACTAATCTCTTATTTCTCGCTTATGTGTGTTATTCCTTCCCAGCCAAGGAAACAAACACATAAATCATTGAACAAAACAACACTGCATCCAGTTTTGGTCACCACAATGTAAAAAAGATGCTGAGACTTTAGAAAGAGTACAGAGAAGAGCAACAAAGATGATTAGGGGACTGGAGGCTAAAACATATGAGGAACGGTTGCTGGAATTGGGTATGTCTAGTTTAACGAAGAAGAGGACGAGGGGGGACATGATAGCAGTATTCCAATATCTCAGGGGCTGCCACAAAGAAGAAGGAGTCAAGCTATTCTCCAAGGTGCCTGAAGGCAGGACGAGAAGCAATGGGTGGAAACTGATCAAGGAAAGAAGCAACTTAGAACTAAGGAGAAACTTCCTGACAGTTAGAACAATTAACCAATGGAACAACTTGCCTCCAGAAGTTGTGAATGCTCCAACACTGGAAGTTTTTAAGAAGAGACTGGACAGCCGTTTGTCTGAAATGGTGTAGGGTTCCTGCCTGGGCAAGGGGTTGGACTCGATGACCTCCAAGGTCCCTTCCAACTTTATTATTATTATTATTGTTATTGTTGTTGTTGTTGTTGTTATTATTATTATTATTATTAACACAGAGTTCTCAAGGCACAAATAGCCAGGCTCAAATTATATTGTATGTACCACACCATCATACTTGACAGTTAATATGAGATGCTTGTGCTGATATGCTATGTTTGGTTTTTGCCAAATGCGGGACTCTGCATTATGGCCAGATATCTCCACTTTGGTCTCATCTGTCCAATGGACACTGTTCCCAAAAAATTGATGTGAAAACTGACCTCTCTAGAAGAGGCTCTAATGCTGGGAAAAATGAGTCAATTGGCAGCTTATCTTACAATAAGTGCTTATCTTACACTTGGAATACTGCATCCAGTTTTGGTCACCACGATGTAAAAAAGATGTTGAGACTCTAGAAAGAGTACAGAGAAGAGCAACAAAGATGATTAGGGAACTGGAGGCTAAAACATACAAGGAACAGTTGCTGGAATTGGGTATGTCTAGTTTAACGAAGAGAAGGACGAGGGGGGACATGATAGCAGTGTTCCAATATCTCAGGGGCTGCCACAAAGAAGAGGGAGTCAAGCTATTTTCCAAGGAGAGAAGCAACTTAGAACTAAGGAGAAACTTCCTGACAGTTAGAACAATTAACCAGTGGAACAACCTGCCTCCAGAAGCTGTAAATGCTCCAACACTGGAAGTTTTTAAGAAGAGACCAGACAATCATTTGTCTGAAATGGTGTAGGGTTTTCTGCCTGAGCAGGGGGTTGGACTAGATGACCTCCAAGGTCCCTTCCAACTTTACTATTATTATTATTATTATTATTATTATTATTATTATTATTATTATTATTATTATTATTATTATTATTATTATTATTATTATTATTATTATTATTATTATTATTATTATTATTATTATTAACACAGAGTTCTCAGGGCACAAATAGCCAGGCTCAGATTATATTGTATGTACCATACCATCATACTTGACAGTTAATATGAGATGCTTGTGCTGATATGCTATGTTTGGTTTTTGCCAAATGCGGGACTCTGCATTATGGCCAGATATCTCCACTTTGGTCTCATCTGTCCAATGGACACTGTTCCAAAAAATTTGATGTGAAAACTGACCTCTCTAGAAGAGGCTCTAATGCTGGGAAAAATGAGTCAATTGGCAGCTTATCTTACAATAAGTGCTTATCTTACACTTGGAATACTGCATCCAGTTTTGGTCACCACGATGTAAAAAAGATGTTGAGACTCTAGAAAGAGTACAGAGAAGAGCAACAAAGATGATTAGGGAACTGGAGGCTAAAACATACAAGGAACAGTTGCTGGAATTGGGTATGTCTAGTTTAACGAAGAGAAGGACGAGGGGGGACATGATAGCAGTGTTCCAATATCTCAGGGG